AACGTGAAAGTATATCTAAATACAGAATTTTACGTACGACGGTTTAAATCTGGATTTCAGCAAAAAGAGCTGTCCTGTTTGATATGTAAGCGCGTTTTCGTAAAGCATATTACGGAATCAACTACTTCGAAACGCTGCTCAACGTGCTCTCGTTTGTCGAGAAAGGACCTTTTGCTGTAATTGACTGCTCACGACAAAACGTATCCGTCATGAGCACCACTGTGGATGTATGCATTGAATTTGACTGCAAGAAGAATGTGCCCGTCAATACTACCGCCTATTACTTTATCATACATGATCGTGTAATCGAGTACTGTCCGTTGTCCAACGTAGTGCGCAAAATCATGTAAATTGCATCGTCAGTAAATATCCAGAATATAAAAGAATAGAAACCCGGGGTGAGGTGCAGTATTGAATAATTGCTCGTCATGGTCATACCAACGTTTGTGGATCTACAAGGATTCATCGTCGAAGAAAGATTTATCGTCAAAGAAGTAGCGGTACTGAGAAGGGGAACCATTCTCACACACTACATTTTTACGAATCCCGTGCCATGGAAATTTTTAACAAGATCTGACAGGTCTTGCACTGCTTGGTTGAGTGCATATCACCATGGATTGCGATGGGAGGACGGGATAGTCCTGTACAGCATGGTGAGGCGTCTAATTACGGAAGCTGTGATAGAAGAGGATGATGATGCTACCGTATATTTCAAGGGACGCGAGAAACGAACGTGGATGTGGAACTTGCTTCTGGACGATGAGCGAGAACTCATGAACATCGAGACCTTGGATAGCAGTTTACGAAGACATGGAATCTTTAACTAATTTCGGCAATTGTAATACTATATAATGTGGAAGACACGCAAAGAATTGTGCTTTGTAAAATGTATATAAGATATTTTACTGGTGGTCGCGACACCAGGAAGAACTGTAAGATTTTTTAAAATAAATGTATGTTATGTCATTAATATGTTTTTTATTTTCGCTACCCTGACTAATAGATATTTAAAATAAAGATAGCAGATTGATGTTCGATATCAGTTCGATGTCAGTCTGACAGTTGTTTATAGCTGTTAAATATCAGTATGATAGCTGTTTATATCTGTTAAATATCAGTCTGATAGCTATTTATAATAGACCGATAGCCGTTCGATATCGGTTCGATAGCGGTTTGATAGCTGTTCGATAGCGATTCGATAGCTGTTCAATAGCGGTTTGATAGCTGTTTATAGCTGTTTATAGCTTTAAGTATCTGTTTGATAGCTGTTCTATAGCCGTTCGATATCGGTTTGATAGCGGTTTGATAGCAGCTCGATATTAGTCCGATAGCTCTTCAACAGATACACGTTTAATTGCGCTTCAATACGAAGCGCTGCAAGTATCAAAAATGCTGAGATGGAATCTTTCAAGCGCGACTTCTTCTCGTGTACTTTTTGGTTAAGGTATACGCTCTTATTAGAGGCATTGTATTTTTTGCTGATATATTGGTTATGACGATTTAATAACTGATGATCTAATTGTAACTGATAAATACTAAAGTTTATTCGTGGAATCGTTCGAACGCGAGACATACTTTTCAGCTGAGGTAAAAACTTTTGACCGGGACGTTGTACTTTTTGCCTACTGATATATCGCGTTGATTTAATTATAACTGATAAAAATACTGAAGTTTATGAGATAGTTCGATCGCGTAATATACTTTCCGGCTGAGATGTAAATTTTGATCACGGCATTGTTCTTTTCTCGGAATGATATCATGTTCACGAACATCTTTACTATATAAATCTCGCACATCCTCGCGGTCAATTAGTCTGCTTGTCGAGTTTTCTTGTCAGTTAGAGTCCGTAAAATTTGACAAAAATTGCAAACACCATTAACTTGATTTAGTGCGCCAATGGATTAGTTGTTGATGCACATTTTGTGGTGCAAAAAGCTGAAGGCCTATTCGAACAACTGCAGTCCCTTCAAAGGGCCTCTACCGCTGAAGCGCCTGATGGACTAAGATTAAATTTGGATATTAGCGATGCGAATCCGTTGGGACAAATGTAAGTACTTTGTTCTTAATCCAATAATTAGCAGTGTAAACTATTAAATACATTTAAACTAGATGAGAAAATATTAATACAGAGATTTAGTTTTGATAAAAAGTAAGTGTTAAAATTTTATCACTTTAATGGGTCGATATTCTTGATTCTTTTGGATATTTAATATTACTGTGAAGCATGTCGGTATTCACTTGCATTACAAATTTTTTTTATATTTTTTTTTGTTCCAGGCATGACGTCGCGAACGTCATGGTGCGACTGAATGAAGTGTTGGATGCCATGAATGAAACAAATGGGAAATTGGTTAATGATGCCGAAAAAATTGTCCGAAAATGTGATAGAAAGCGCAGGATAGCAGACAGTGATGGCGACGACGACGATGACATCACGTTCGTGTTGGAGCGGAGGATTTATTAAAAATTATATACGTATACATATACACATATATACATATACAGGGTCATCGAAAAGTATAGGATCCCCCTAATATCTTCAGTTAGAATGCATTTTGGAGAAAATGTCCAATAGCAAAGTTGCATGGTTTCAAGCGAGGAGTAAGATGATGACCTTGACTTTGATCTTGACCATATCCTTTAAGGTCATTTCAAGGTCAACCTTATTTTTTTTAATGGAACCCCCTACATTTTATGGCATATTTTTATAGCTTATCTCGAGAGCTTTCCAAAATACTATAATAAAACATTTTTTCATTAAGTATTTTTTGAGTTATAAAGGTTTGGACATTTTTCCAAAATGCATTCTTACTGAAAATATTAGGGGAATCCGACACTTTTTTATTAATGTATTTTCTTTAGACCAATTAATTGGTCTCATTATTCTGCGCACAAAAGTATTAAGGTTATGATTACTAAAAACTAAATAATATTTTACAAGATATTTTACATTTAGTGTCAAAAAATTGTTAACTTCAAACTTTATAACTCAAAAAGTACTTAATGAAAAAATGTTTTATTATAGTGTTTTGGAAAGCCCTCGAGATAAGCTATAAAAATATGCAATAAAATGTAGGGGGTTCCATTTAAAAAAATAAGGTTGACCTTGAAATGACCTTAAAGGACATGGTCAAAGCCAAGGTCATTATCTTACTCCTCGCTTGAAACCATACAACTTTGCTATTGGACATTTTCTCCAAAATGCATTCTAACTGAAAATATTAGGGGGGTCCGATACTTTTCGATGACCCTGTATACATACATATACATATAAATATATACATACATATATACATATCATACATACATACTTATATACAAGGTGACCCATTTTAACTTAGACAGCCAAATAACTCGAAACATCGCGATTAAATAAAAAAATGTTTAAAACAAAAATTGTTGGATATGAAGGGGTTGATTGAACTATGACCTTGACAATGACCTTGACCTTCATTTTCAAGGTTATTTGAAGGTCTACTTTCAATTTTTAAATAGAAACCCATATTTTTGATCCCGGATTTTGAAAGAGCCCAAAATTTTACGTCCAGATGAACTTTCATGTTATGGGTCAAAGTTGACCATAGAGGTCATTTCAAAGACAAATTCCTAATCGAAGCAGAAAGCCAAAAAATCTTGATTTTTCCCGGATAGTGTTTGTGAGAAAAATTGTTGGATATCGAGGGGAGACCAAACCATGACCCTGACAGTGTCTTTGAACCTATATTTTCATGACCATTTCAACCTTGTAGATGATGGGACCTTGTAGATGGTGGGAAGGCTTAAGCGCTGAACCAAGGTAGCTGTGGGGCAGGATTTTGCACTATGTGACTGGTGGGTCATCTCTTCACCGAGGTAAGTAGCCA